ATCCCTGCTCTATATTTTGAAAGTGACTTGACTTACCAGGTGTATGCATTTGTCACAACTCATCCAATAAAGGACATAAGATTTATGCATTTCACTCTATGTTAATTTTAACCTCAAAGAAAGAGAACCATGAAATATCAAGCTCTAGGCTAATGATAAGCATGTGGTTTGCAGTGAGGTACACTGCAAGGTATCTGCAAGTTTGAAAGCATCAAAAAATAAGAAGAAGAAGAAGAAGATGGACTGACAGGTATACAACACAAAAAATTAACTGCTGGCAACTGTAGATCCTACAATTGGTATTTGGTATATGGGGGTTAACAGTATAATTTTTCAACATTTCTATATATGTATTTTAAAGTTTTAATATTAAATGTGGGGAACAGGTCATTCAATTAAGAGGCCACTGAAGATTTTTGAGCAGAGAAATGAAAATAAAATTTAGGTTCTACAAATAGGACTCACACAGTGCAAAAGACATTCTGAAGAATGGTTGGATGAAGGAAGAAAGTAGTAAGTAAGCTATTACAATAGTTGATGCCTTAGAAAGTATTAACATTTAAGGAGTAAGTACAAAATGAGTTACAAAGAGAAGTCAGAAAAGTAAAGAATAGAAAGTGTCTTCCTCTCAGGAATAAGGTTCCCAGGGTCAATGTAACAGAAATCAAGTAAGATGAGAACTGAAAAGTATCTATTGGATTAAGCAATGGGCAACTCTGATGATGTAAAAGTGGTGTGGTAAGAATATAAACCAAAGAATCCTGATAAATTCAAAGGAAACAAACAATTAAGGCTCAAAGGAACAGAGGTGGGCCAAGAAAAGAAGGCAAAACTAGACAGCAACATAGGGTAAAAGACTGCCGTATTTCCTTAACATGGAAAACAAAAGTAAATGACTACACCTAAAAATTCCCATCTATTATCTCACCCAGAACATGTACTATTTATTGGGTATGGCAGTCTGCCATGGGCCTAAGTGTCTGTGCACATTCTTGCTGAGTGTTAAAGTCTGCAAAACTTACCTATTTCCTGGTACTGAGTGGATTCTTGTAATAAGTCACCTAGGCAACAAAGAAGGTCAAGGTTACCACAGCACATAACTCTACTCCTAGGGAGAGGTTAACTAGCTTGTTTGTTGCTTGCTAAAGTGCTAGAGCCTTGGTCCTGAGTTCCTGTGCTGTGACCCACCAAGTGCATCTATCTAGACCCATCACCATAATGGGATGTGGGTGCAAGGAAAATGTACCCAAATATGTTGACGTTCATGCAGCTCGCTGTGCTATGAGTAAGAATGCTATTTGTTTCTCATCTGGGAGTCTCCTGTTTTCTGCTAGTAACCATGAAACATTAACAAACTAACTTCTTAGCCTGTAAATAGGATAAAATCAAATATTAAGACTTTTCACAGTACTTGACATGAACAAGAAAGAAGTAGTTGATATTCCTGTTGCTGTATAAAAAAAAATACAAAAGTGGTCACAAACAAAAACTGATATATAATACTTTACAGTTTATATACCTTGTTATTCGTAATATTTACCACGTAACAATCTCTGTATTACATCTTTTACGTATATTACAACATATAATTCTCATAATAATCCTTATGAGGTAGGTACTGATATGACAAAACTGAGGCTTCAAAATGCTAAATAAATTAACTAAGGTAAGAGCTCACAAATTGTAAGCAGCACAACCTAAATATAAGCCCAGATGACTTTAAAATGTGTGTTTTTTTAACCATCAACAGTTAATTCCCTTCCCTGATTTATCAAGGACAACTCTAATTCTCCAAATACAAGGCCAAAGTATCGAGATCTTTACAGTATGAATACTTCATTAGGTTCACAGAAAACTAACATTTTGGAAATGTTAATATAATCTCAAAATTTTCTTTAAAAATCTGTGATCAAAATTTAGGAAGAGCTAGATTAAATATCTAAACTATTGTCTTTACTGCAGAATTTCTCATTGTTTTAATATGCAAATATTTGTTTTAACACGCTAATATATGCCATAAATCTTCTAAGACCATCTATTACATCATTCTGGAAAACAGTTTGGGAAACTACTGCTACAATCAACAGTGCCAACTTAACCTGTATACAGAACATCTCTGAAACCTTAGTAGTCAGCTTGGTATAGGTACATAATCCTTTACAATAGAAAACATCAAAGTTAGAATGTGGCCTAACAACTCCAAGATAAAACAACTACATAGTTTGGCAACATTGCTCATTTTCTACCAAACAAAACTTAATCCCGTAACCCAAGGAAACCATATAGCATATCTAGCTTTTTCTAAAATGAGAAGGGTAATAATTCAGGCTTTTGTAGCTCTACATTATTATCCACTGCTTTACCTAACAAAATTCAGACTCGTATAACAACGGAAAGGAAGAAGACATCACAGAAAAAGCTGTTTCCACATTAAACTTGTACACTGGTTAATGGTCGTGAGTCATTCTGACGGTCATCACCACTAACTTTCCAATATGGAAACCTAAATTTTAACTCTATCAATAAGAGATAAATTAACATTACAGACGATTGTACTCCTAAGCATATCTGCCTGTCTCCTACTTAGCTCTTAACATTTAACAACTGAAATTACTTACTGATCAATAATTTATTAATCATTCCAGAGTTTTCAAAAAAACTGAGTAAAGACAATTACACAGCAGTTGTGTTCATCATATAATCCAGAGCTGCAGACTTGTCCCCAAATAGTCTAATAGTCAACAACTCAGCTGCTTCTTCAGAATACCTAGATATAGTTATTCATCAGGCCATCCTCAATAAAACCCAGAGTTATACTAGACAGATGAAATAGCTATGTAATTACAAACCAACAGGAATTAAAATCCAAATTTAAACTATGCTAAGATTCTCAAACATTTTGCCTTACAAAGAAAACAACTGATATCCTACCAGGAGTAGTATCTTTACAAGAACCAATTTTTGCCCTCTGCTCTGAAGGAATGCTTCCACCCATTCAAAGTCTATTTCAAAGTTTATGTAGGACACATCTCCAGGTGGGCGTGGGGGAGTGGGGGCGGGGGCGGGTATGCAATACCCATTTGTTGCAAAAGGAGTTGTAGAGAAAAAGAAAAAAATATCTTAAAACTGGGTAAATTTCAATACACTGATGTCAGAAAAACATTTTTTTAGTAATAATTAAGTCAAATCTCAACTAGTCATAATTACTGAAAGCAACTGTAACAAATTATTTTAAGACACAGCTACATCAGTTAAAAATGTTTTGAGTAGTGACTTGTGTATGAGAACACAGTTGATTCTGACACACAAAACCCCAACGAGAAAGAATTCAAATAAAGCTAATGCCATTAAGGGAACAAATAGAAATAAGAAAAGAAAGGGATTAGAAAAAAGACACTGGAAAGAGTACTCAATATTTTCTGCATTTTATTTTAGCTAACATCTGCAAAAAGAAGGTCTTTTTTAAAAAAAACTATCCAGGGGTGCGCCTTGGTGGCTCAGTCGGTTAAGCACGCCGCTTCAGCTCAGGTCATGATCTTATGGTTTGTGGGTTCAAGCCCCGTGTCGGGCTCTGTGCTGACAGCTCAGAGCCTGGAGCCTGCTTTGGATTTTGTGTCTCCGGCTTTCTCTGCCCCTCCCCCTCCCTCCCTCCATCCCTCTCTCTCTCAAAAGTATAAACATTGAAAAGGAAAGGAAAGGAAAGGAAAGGAAAGGGAAAAATGCCTTCCACAGTGGCAGCAATATTTTCTAAACCGTTCTGAAAATAGATAAATTTTCACAAAATTCAACATAGATCATTTGAAGGTTTACAGGATGTAAACCAGATGAAATGGAAGCATCATGAGCTTGTATCTTAGACAAATGCACAACTGCATACACTGGAATTTCATCTTTCAGTAGCCTTCGTTCGTATTCGTCAAAATGCACCTATTGATAGGAATTCTTTGTTCGTAACTAAGTCTCACGTTTGCAAATACATATTTGAGAGGTGAAATCTGCACTAATATATCTACATCTGCAAAATTTCACAAACAGCACTATTAATTGCACCATCAATGCTACATATTAATCCTTTCCTATTCTTCCTTAGTGAAATGGTTTAATTACCACATGAAAGTTTATAACATGCTACCTAGCTACAACCAAACAGTCAACTATTGCTGAGCCCATTTTTTAAAGAGGGTTTAGAAATCTCCAACGACACTACCAGAATTAAGACTACAGGAAAAACTACATTAGAGAAACTGACACTGAAAATGTAGAGGGACACTTTTCACTCTTTTAACATACAAAGATTTGTGTGGTTGAACTGGAAAACCCTGTATTTAGTGAAAAATAATTTTCAAACAGGATTTGCATTTTTTCTAGCAAAACCTGTTTCCTCTCCTGCCTCCCCCCCCCCCCAACTGAGACCAGAAATAAAATTTGAAAATGAACAAAAAGGGACAGGGCAAAACGGCAAGGTTAACTAGAGCTGAAGACACAGATCAGCACCACTATTCTCCGTAGTTACACAATTTTTCAACCCACATTTTTCACCGAATCCACATCCCACCCTACATCGTTCTTACATCTCCTTCCCCCCCTACCCGCTCCATTTTTGACGGCGATCCTCTTCCCAGCAGGTATGTGAACTCAGCACCATTTCCAGCAGACAATCCACTGGAAATATCTCAGAAGTGACTGGGTCAGGAAATAAGGAAATGACCAAGAAGGTGAGAAGTAAAACAAATAGAAGTTTTAGGAAGGGGGAGGAAGAAGGGTATCTTACAGCCAAATATAGGGTTTGGGTGAGGGATGGGGAGGCAGTAGGAGCCTTGGGTTGAGAGGAAAAGGTCTCGAAGGAGTCAGAGACAAGCTCCACAAGGAAAGGTGTGAAGAAAAAAAAGAAGAATTAGGCAGTTTTTAGCCGGAGGAAGGGGACTCCCGGGTCCACGGCGGGAGGCAGCTCTGGGGTCCTGGGCAGCGCAGAAGGCCGGGGCGGGGACGCAGGAACTCACCACCTGGTAACGACCAGTCCCTGGCTGGTGATGATCCATCCTGCCCGGCTCGGGATCCGGCTTCCGAGAGGGCGAATCCTCTCCGCTCTCGGACCCCTCGTCCACCCCCGTCGACGACGTCCTGGCCGCAGCGCCCCTTCCGCTGCCGTTTCTGCCGCCGCGGTCGCCCGGCCGGGCCGCTTCACTTCCTGTCGCTCCCGCAGCAGTCGCGGAAACCTCCGCGTCGGCCACCGCGCGGCGAAGCTCCAGAACGCCGCGCGAGCTACTGAGCATGCTCGCAGTGGTCGCGCATGCTCGTGGGGTCTTCCGGCGTCCGTTCGCGTTGCGAGCGGGGGGGTTTGGCTGGGTGGAAGGAAATGGAAAAGTAAGACAAGTCCGGGGAACTGTCTAGGTTGTCTGCTTGTCGGGAGTGGGCGGTGGCAAAAGGGACGGAAAAAAAAATCACCGTCCTTGATAGGTCTTTTCTATTGGACGGGTTTCGGCGCCGGCACAGGCGGGTACACAATCACACCACGCAGACACCGGAGTCGAGGAGGAAGGGAACGCATTCCTAGAACACCTCAGGATGGGTCATCCGTTTACCCAACACTTCCTCTTATAACTCACCCAGGCTAGGACAATGCGGGGAGATCCGTCTCTAAGACGTTCCTAAAACGCTCGTTCAAAATCATTAGTGAGGTAAAGGATATCTTTTTAAATACTGTTTTGTCCCCTTCTTGGTAGTATGAGATTTGAGACTCTAACAGGGACTCTTCAACCATACTCCCGTCTCGCCAAGGAAGGAGGCCTCTAGAGCCCTACGTTACTGGAAGGATACAAGAAAATCAGGAAGTACGATAGGACTATTTTGTCATCGTACTCACTTCAGTAATGCCAAAGGAAATAACAGTAAGAAATCACTTGGTGTGCAACATTGTAAGACAGTCTTAGTGTCCGATTAGGCACACGTGACCTACTATGTGAGAGTATCTCCCAAAGGCCACAAAGCATGTTTTTCTACGGAGTAGAAGAGTATGATGGGACAAAGTAAAGTATCTTTTAACCTTTCTATACCCCAAAAACTATGATCTCACATAATCTGGCCCAGCGATCTCCTTTACTTTTTACTTCCTTTCTGAATTTCCAAAGGAGAGTCCTGGAATAAAAAAAAAGTCACTGAGTGAGTCTGATAGGCTAGTTAAAATAGCAAAAATACAATAAAGACAAACTCACTGAGAAATAATCAGCTAAAAACATTTAAGCTTTCTTGATAGTTTTATTCAAAGCATTGACCAGTTCTTCCTATTTTTACCATCTCAACACATCTAATGGTAGAGAGTATGAATAGACTAACAATAAAAGGAGGCAATAACATACTGAAATGTCTTTAAACTTGTTTTCTTTTAATATAAATTCATGTATTTTGGATTCGAAGACAATAAACATAGGACATTTTATTGTATTATTGTACAAGAGGTCACCTTCACAGTTTCACCCCAAATGATACCACCTTTAAATAATCAAAACAACACACAGTGTTGAAACAGACAGAAAAATGAAATTAGATTCCTACATCACTTATGGTCTGTACTGTTCCTTTAGAACTTAATTTTATATGTGCTTGTGTTTTCATTAATCATTTATATGCCCATTTGTTGTTTTTCAAATAGACTACTGCTCAGCGCAGTGGCCATTTTTTGCACCTAGCATACCCAGAACACTACTGAGAACATAATGGTGAAAAGCAAAGACCAAAAGCAGACATCCTGAATCCTGTTAAAGTAACAGATTCTTTCAATTTTACCCTCCTCCCAAGCTTTGTGAACATTTTGCTAATCTGGACAGCAGACAACAAAATTCAACAGAAAGTGTTTTTTTCAGTGAAGAAAAGGAAGAGAAAAAGAGGAAAGAAGTAGAATAACAGCTAATGGATATTGAGCCTTTCCCCAGCCAGGCGTTGCATGTGTTATGTCATTTTAACCTCACAGCAACTCCATGATGTAGGCACAACTATAATCCTTGTTTAACAAGTCAGGAAACTAAGGCACCAAGAGGTTCAGAAACTTGTCCAAAGCCAAATCACTAGCAGGTGGTCACAGACTCCAGAGTCTCCACTATATTAAGCACTATGCTATAAAATACCCCTCCCCCATAGTGATGCATCACAAAGAGCCAATCTGACTTTTTTAAATCCCACCTTTTTGATCTATGTGAAATGAATGATGCTTTCTTACCATCCCAAAAAGAGCCACTCTGAGCTCCTTTTGCCCATTTCACAACTAAGCCAGTGTGACCTGTAACAGGCCATCACAAGTAGAAGCCCTGAGTTGTCCCACTGGGAGCATGAAATGGGAGAAACAATATTCTTATCATTTTAGAAGCTTTTAACAACATCTGATGTATTCAACCCCTAATGTTTTGGTGGTGACAACTCTAGTCACCTAAGGAATTGATGGTAGTGTACCACTATAAAATACACAGGTGGAATTTTAGAATGTTAATGCCCTTCACGAACACCTCTTATTCTGGCCTGATCAATTTTCATTTTCAAATACTCAGCCACCCAAAATTTTACCAGAGCCACATTGCAATACTGGGGCAGACATGGAGATAAACTGCCTGGATTCCCTATCAAGAAAATACTCTGTGACTAGTTATAAGGAGTGTGATTAACTAACAACCTCCAGCTGTTTTGCCCGGTTTTCCTTCAGTTTTCAACCTGTGGTTGTTTTAGTTCAACCTGTGGTTGTGTGGTTGTGTGGTTTATTTCAACCACAGGTTGTTTATTTCAACCTGTGGTTGTGTTTATTTTCAGGGTGGCATCTGGCCATCAACTGGTGGTGGTACAGGTGGAGCCACTTTTGCCTGACACCCTTTTAAGAGGCAATCTTTGCTTCCGAACTCCCTGCTAACCTGGCAGAGACTTTGTTAGCTTTGTAGTATGTTGTGATGACTCTCACTGCCCAATCCTTTTCTTTTTCACAGATGTTAACTCTCCAATAAATCTCTTGTACTCATAACTTCATATCAGCATCTGCTTCCTAGAGAACCCAAACTAAACACGTGCCAAGACATAAAGTGATAAAACATGGTTAATATCAAAATTGCATGAAGTGACAACTGTCTTTTCACATTAATTGATGCGTCATCCCCAGAATAATCCCCACCCCCACCCCCGTTACCCTCCATTTTTACCATTTTCTCATGTGGGCATAATGTATCTACAGTCTTCCCACCAAGAACGACTTTGAAGTTCTGTAGAGTGATGCTATCTAGTCATAGAGACCCCTTTTCCTGGGATATACTTCCCACTGGGAATCCCTCCTACCTTCCCAGAAGCAGAGCCATTCCCTTTAGAGATAAACTGATTTCTTATCATCCTCCATACCCTCCTCCTAGTTCAAAACAGATATGCTAAACTGCATGTACATGTGCCAGGATTCTTTGTTGTTATTCTCACCAGTTAAAGAGCAGTGGACAGATGTGCCCTTGCCAGCACATGGCTTTCTACACAGGCCTAAATCACAGGTAGGCAAATGCTCCAAATTTTCCTTACTTCTTGACTTCTAGTTTTTTATCACTTCCACTACAACATAGAATATAAAACATAAAACTACTCCCCAAGTAGCTGCTGATGGTTAGTGTGACCGTAGATCCTAATGGTTAATTGCATTTGGAATATGTATGATTTTGTATATTTATCTAGAGAATGATTAAGAAGAGGTAAAATTGCATTCTCTGTCTGAAGATTTCTAACTCTACCTAAAAAAATTCAGTAGCCATTATTTTCTGCTCACTAAATTCTGAAGTAGATTTTAGAAAATACAAGAAACTATTGTGTCATTTTGGTAAATGAAAATGTGCATAATTATTACTCCAAAGTTTTACCTCTATTACCATGTACGTGGATCTTTTAGCAGTTTGGAGGCTTGTATCTCAATTTAGCTTCACATAGTGTTCCTTATTTAACTGGTTCTGAGATTCCTGTCATCTGTTCAGCTCTATAATTTAAGAGAGGAAATCTGAGTGAGCAATTTGACAATCAGGTATCTACTTCCTGTCTCTCTCTTTATTCTCATACACTATGTTGAATATCAATATAGTAAGAATATAGGAAGAATCTAAAATACAGCTCATGTTTTTTATAAGTCAGGACTCAACCTAAGAAAAAGAACCAATAGAAGATATATATGAAGAGATTTATTGTGAGGAATTGGCTTAAACTGTTGTGAGGGCTGGCTAAACATCCAAAATCCATAGTATAGGCCACTGGAACTCTAGAAGATTCTAGAAGTTGCTATCTACAGGCAGAATTTCTTCTTCCTCAGGGAAGCCTCAGTTCTGCTCTTGACCTTTCAACAAATTAAATCAAGCCCACCCAGATTATAGAAGATAATCTCCTTAAAGTCAACTGATCTTGGACTTTGATCATAGTATCTAGAAGTACCTTCACAGCAATGCCTAGATTAGTGTTTGAGTTTTAATTGGAGCTATAACCTAACCAAGCTGACACAGAAAACTGACTATCCCATGTTTATTAAATACTACAAGCTGAAACTGTCTCTATAAAATAGAGAGAGAGAAACAGAAGAGAGAATGAAGTACAGAGAGTTAGTTTAGAGATTAAAATAAATTTCCATAATAAGTATTTCCTATCAGCTTTATTTTAAATACATACTGTTATATATATGGAGGCATCACCAGGCAACAATTAGAAAATATTTGAATTTTGATAAGCTAACACTACTTTTATTTATCATTTTCATTTTTGTTTAGTCATGAGCAAATCAAATCAACAGCCATTTTGCCTTAGGGATTACGTATTTAAAATTGGGCTAATTCATAAATTATTAAAACGTTCTTTGCTTTACCTTGAGTACAGAAGGCTGTTCTTTGACCATTTTAAAACAGGATTTTATGTGTTATTTGTCTCCTGTTTTCTCTGCAAGCCTGATAATCACTTTCATCATAGAAGAGCAGAACTGGCACTGAGTACATTGCCTATTATGACAGGTTTCTCTTGACTAACCAAGCCAAGATGATCATGGAAGAAGACAAATACTATGTTTGTGTGCATGTAGGGGTGTGTGTGTGTGTGTGTGTGTGTGTGTGTGTGTGTGTGTGTGTATAAAATACTAGGAGAGACAAATATCTCTTATATATCAAGATTTTCGTAACATCTAAGACATTGTTTGCTCTCCTTCTGTAACAGGAACCAGGCCTCATTTGTTAAATCATCTGAAGTCAGAATGCCACTTCACTATTAACAACATTGTACAACATTACCAATAAGGTTGCCGTATGATAAAGGTGCCTCGTTTCAGTAGTGAGGATAAA